ATTCGGAATGCGTCCGCGCACTTAATTTTGTTTTTCACACAAAATTTGATACAGATTCTTTGATCCATTTTTTGGAATAGGCAAAAATCGAAGACGAGCCAAAACACGTGCAAGCAAAGCAGCTGTCAAAAATTAACTGAACATTCAAAATGGCCGAACTTGTCGGCATAAATGAGAGACATGAGTACCAACATAACGCCACAAAAAAATCGAAAATCGAATATACGTAACCCGCGGAAATTCAAAATTCGCGATACTTTTTGAACAGACCTCGTATGAGGAAACGAAGGTGAAGATAAGGTCGAAGCAAGGATACACGCAACAATTCAGAACAAAAAGAAGTAAGACAGGACTGTGTGATGAATCCATTATTGTTCAATTTATATATTGCAGACATAGATAATGAATTAGAGAAAAGAGGAATAGGAGGAGTTGGACTAGGTAGAGTTAGGATATGGTCGTTAGCATATGCGGATGACTTAGTTTTAGTAGCTTATAATAGGAAGGCGTTGCAGGATATGATGGACATGTTCAAAAAATTTTTGGCGAGGAGGAAATTGGAGTTGTGCACAGAAAAGACGAAAATAATGGTGTCTGGGAGAGAGGGGGAGAAAAAGAAAAGAAAAATGGAAATGGGAGAATAAGGAATTAGAAGAGGTGCAGAAATTTAAATATTTATGTTTTAATTTAGATAGGAATGAGGATTATAAAAGGCATATTAAAGAAATAAGTAGAAAAGGGAAAATGGTAGCAAGAAAGGTATGGAGTTTAGGAGAAAAGCTATGCAGAAATGACTTTAGAAGAAGATGCTATTTAAATATTTGATACAGAGTATAACAGCATATGAAAATATGAGGCTGGGAGGAAAAAGGTGAATTAGAAAAGATAATGTTAGACTATATCAGGTGGATTTTCAACTTAGATTTTTGCACTCCAAGATATGTAATTATGAGAGTTGGTAATGGATAAACTCAAAGTGAGATGGGGTTTGAGGGTAAGAAAATAGAAATAAGGAAAAGATTAAATCTGGAAACATAGGTAATCTAGTTAGGAAGTGCTGAGAGGAAAAACAAAGCTATGAAACGATAGATATAGTATGGAGAGAGAGAGAGTTATTATAATAAGAACGGATATAGGGAATTGAATCTAGGGAAGTAATGAGACATGGGAATGAAAGCTTTAAAAAAGATTTAATAAGTAGAGAAAGGGATTTACAGAGGCAATGGGAAAGGGAAAGAATTGATAGGTCAAGGTATAATAAAAGATATAAAGAGATAAGTACTGAGAATAAGGTACCAAATTATTTGAGGGTGGAGAATATGGAATGGAAAAGAGAAAAAGAGAACGAGATAAGAGCTTATTTAAAAGATAAAAGAACCTATAATAAAGACCTTATTTAAATTAAAGTGTGGTAATTTAGAAGAGAAAAATAAACACTGGTTAGGAATAGAGGAGGAAGGATGTCTTTTCTGTGGTGAAGGCATGAATAATCTGGAACATTATATCAAAGAATATGAGAAGAGATAGTTTCGAAGAGTTAGGGATGGATAAGGGTGAGATTGTACGAGGGTGGTTCAAATATAAACCGGAATTTTACAAATACTTTTCTTAGCCAACCACGAGCGCTCTCACAGTGTAGGTTCTTGTAGTGTAGTGTATCAGGAGTGGGGAAAACGCTTGGTGAGCTGTTTGACTCAGTCAATTCGCCAGTACAGCTATGAGTGAGCAACAGGTTCCAGCGTCCGTTGCACAACGGGTTATAATAAAGTTTTTAACTAAGGAAGGCGTTAAACCGTGCGAAATTTTGACTCGATTGAAGGTTCAGTATGGGGATGATACTCTGTCTAAAACTCAAGTGTTTGATTGGGCCAAAAAGTTTAAGAGTGGACGAGAAAGTGTGGAAAATGTGAGTCATAATCGACGTCCAACGATTTGACAACGATCAAGATGTTGAGGAATTCGTGCGCAATTGGTTGGTGACTCAACTTCAAAGTTTCTACGAGCAAGGAATTAACAAGCTTCCAAACCGCTGGGAAAAATGTGTAGAGCGTGAAGGAGACTATGTAGAAAAATAATCAACAGTATTTTTGTATTGTTTTATAAATAAATAAATATTAAAAAAGAATTCCGGTTAATATTTGATTCACCCTCGTAAGAAAAATATAGGGAAAAGATTTGAATGAACTTAAAAGAAACGCGCTAAAAAAACTATGAAGAATAGAGAAAAGGAAATAATAAAAAGAAAAGAAAAGAAAGAAGAGAGGAAAGAAAGGATATAAATGGAGGCTAATCTAAAGATAAGAAAAAAATGTATTTATAAGACTATAAGTTAGAGAAGTTAGGAGTCAGGTATAAGATAATGTATAGACAAGGAATGAGCATTTTGTAAGATTTCAAGGATAAGATAAGATGCAGTGTAGCATATTATAGTTAGTTATAGTTAGATATAGGTAAATAGTATTTATTTATTTATTTATAAGTTAAGGAAATTCATTGTAACGATACTGATAGAAAATAAAAAAGACAGGATGTAGGTGGAAGGTGCTTTTAAAGTATATAAGGAAAGATAGGGAGATAAGTATGGGTAGAGGAATGTTATGTAGAGATGAAAGTAAATAAGAAAGGAAAAATAAGGAGTATATAGGAAAATATTGTTAACAAAAAAAAAAAAAAGAATAGACTGTGATAAGGCTGCGATAGGGCTGTGATATAGAGATTATGTATTGATAAAAGAGAATGTATAGTAATAGACTAAGCTGTAATTGTAAGATAAACGCGGATAATGTGAGAAGAAATAAAGTAGGTTAAGAAGTGAAGTAAGAAATCTAACTAATAAAAAGTAAAAGAGAAATCCAAAAATTCATAATATTATATATGTAAGATAGCATGGAGGAGAAATGTAAATGTGAATGAATTAAGTATTTCTGTAAACCAAGTCCCTTTCTTGGCTGTATATGCTGAAGTGTAAATTCTATTCTTATTTTTTAAATTTTAATTTTTAACAATAAAAATAATAACAAAATAAACTGCAAAAATGTGTTATTAAAATATAATCTTATTTACACAACTTTTTCATATGTATAATATAGTTTATTTGAAATGTAAATATTAAGCATACTTCAACAAATTTAATTTTTTTTGCAGGGACGTATGTCTAATAGATTCTTGAAGATGTCACTATTATTGATTTTCTTTATTTGGAATTTAAATAATCTGTACTCTCGACATCGATCATCCCCTTAATGTTGAATTAATACAAATAATCTCCTTAGTATTGCAATATTAGAATTACACATTATTCATTTATAATACTATCAATGTATTTCCATTTATTTAACAGACAATTTTTTCACAATATTTTTGTATAATTTAATTTCTTTATGACACAAGAAACTGTGAGTACATGAGATAAATATATTATTTCGTACAATATTACATTTAAAAGTTTACATACTGTTTAAATAAATTTTACATTGTATAAATTTAAATAAACTTTATACACAAAAAATGGAATGCACAATTTAAGCGTTTGATGTCATAGTTCCTCTCATATTACATACAATTATAAGATATTAAAAATATTAAATTTTTAATAAATATAATATTTGAAGCACAAAATTTTTATTGCAAGGAATTTTTTAAGAACCAAAAGAAAAATCATAAGAATATTAAAAATGTGTATTCTCTCTCTCTCTCTCTTTAAATACTTTATCTTTTACTAGAATTCTAATCCTATAAACATATTACTTTTTATGTGTAAATAAAATTGACTACAGATTTTTTATGGCATATAATTTACATTATATCATAATTTACGAAATAATTTACAGTTTAATTTTCTAATCTAAATACAATTATTCAGTCAGATTTCCGAGTGCTTTGACGACAAATGTCCTGGAAGTATAATAAACACTATAATATAAATATTAGAATAATAAATATAAGAATAATAATATTAAGAATAACATTATAATATAAATATTAAGAATAATAATGACATAGTTCTACAGTTCCCAATGTTAATTTTCGTAATAAAGAAAAATGAATTCCATTTATTTTAGAAATATGTTAATAACTTACTTAATTATATCAGGTAATTCTTTGTATCTACAGATATATTTATGTCCAAGTCCATAGGATGAATCTATTTTTATCATTTGGATATGATTTGTATTATTTCCAAAACTATCTAATGCTGCTTGATAAAGCTGAAACATGAACTTGTATGAATTTCTATTAATTTGTGATATTAATTTTTTAACAACTATTTTAGGCTTTAGCTCGCGAGCTAAACATTCTCATCTTTTCGCCATCTCATTGGACCAGATAGAAAACAAAAAGGGATAGAGACCAGAACAGCTAGAGTAACTTATAACTGGGTGCAACTATAGCATCTTATTCCTTTTGTTTTCTGTCTATCTCGCTTAACGAGACAATGAAGAAAAAGAACCATTTAACTCGCGAGTTAAATTTTGGACAAATCTGGTCTATATAATTGTACAGCAAAAGTACTGTAAATAATATATTATAATCATACCTTTTCTGCTAAGAAAACTGGAATTACACCATCATCTTCAGCATGTAATATCATAATAGGACAATCAATCTTAATAATATGTTTATCAGACTCAAATCGCAAATTATTCTTATAAAATGGTTCAACAGCCATCCAATGGAACCATGGCAAGTGTTTGAATATCTGTGTAAAACGCTTAAAAATTAATTTACATTTATTGGAAATAGTACAATTTATATCTAAATAGATAATAATTGTTGAGATATACCTGTGCAAATGGATGCTCTGTTAATTCATCTTGTATGTTATTGAATGGTGCTTCCAGAAATAATCCTGTTGGTTGTATATTTTCGGCTGCTAGCAGGGCTAATACATGCGTCGAAACTCTAATATCAAATAAAAAGTTATAATTATAAAATAAACTATTTCAATTTGAACGTTAAATACGAAGCGCTCTTACAGTTCCGAGTGTTAAGATGTTGAACTAACATTCATTTAAATTAAAATTAAATTAAATTAATTTATATTTCTGAAATAAATTAATTTAATTTAATTTTAATTTTAATGAATGTTAGTTCAACATCTTAACACTCGGAACTGTAAGAGCGCTTCGTATTTAACGTTTGAATATTTGAGTTCCATTTCCAATCAGATCTTTATTTCAATTTGTATTGTAACAGATTATTTAAAAATTACCCAGTTCCTAGAGAGTGGCCCCAAACAAAAACTGGAACTGAACCATTAACTTTTTTCATCACCCACTCAAGAACATATTTACTATCCATAACTACACCTTCTTCGGAGAGCTCTACTATATCACTATCGCCATAGTCTAAATCGATGAGAGAACTTGAGTAAAATTTTATTTTAAAATGTAAAACATAAACAGTACTTTATCAATTATTCTAAAAGTAACAAATTTTTGATACTTACTTCTGTAATCAAAACATATAACATGATAATCTAGATCTTGGAAAAGCTTATAAAGCTCGAGTCTATGCGAACTTGCTCTATTACCACTGTTTCCGTGCATGTACAGAAATACAGGTAGCTTAGCATTACTTAGAACTGCTTCATAAGCTTCATCTGTCGCAGGAATGGAATTATTTAATAAAGACCGTGGTAATATCTGCCTGTAAAAGAACTATCGTTTAATATAATTCAATATGTACTATTTTATATTAAAATATCATAAGCACTTAAAGTTACAAATTTCATAAGATTATGTACACTCACCATGCACCTATTTTTACTTGCTGATCGGTATGTAAATAAAAATTTCTAGCGCCTTCCAGCCCAACCAATTTTGGATTGGAAAACTCTACTTTAAGTGGCCAATGTACTAAAAGAGATTGAAATAATATATTGTTTTAATATACCAACTATAATTTTATATTTTAAAATTAAAGAATATGAATTCAAACGCGCGCGCGCACGCACACACGCACACACACA